GTCCATCCGAGAGGCCTGGGCTGGGGTGACTTTCAAGGTGACAAGCCTCCTTCAAGTGAGGGGTCGTCTGCAGGAGCATTTGGGGGCGTTGGCCAGGACAGAGTGCAGGGCCCTCCTCAGCTTCCTTTCCCAGGAAATAGGCAGCAAACCCACCCCAGGCGGCTGTGATGTGAGTTCTGTTTTAAAGACTCATACAAGATACTGAGCAGAGGAGAGGGGAGAGAAGGAGCAGGCGTTGTCTCCCCAGTGGGACCCCCAGGAGCCTGGCGGGCTACCCCCCACCTGCAGACAGGTGAGAAGTGACCTGGAAACAGCTGAGAACTGGAGAAATGTAGACTTGAGGACTTTTTGAGAAAAGTTGTAATGACCACTGATAGAAATTAAAAACTATTTTATTGCCCTAGCTGGTGTGGCTCAGTGGATATAGCGTCAGCCTGTAGACCAAAGGGTCCCGGGTTCAATTCTGGTCAAGGGCATGTACCTTGGTTTCAGGCTCCTCCCCGGTCGTGCCCTGGTCAGGGCTCATGCAGGAGGCAGCCAATCGATGTGTTTCTCTCACATTGATGTTTCTCTGTCTGTCCCTCTCTCTTCCACTCTCTCTAAAAATTCAATGGAAAAATATCCTCGGGTAAAGATTAACAACAACAACAACAAATAATAATAATAAAAAATATTAAAAAAACCTTTTATTGAAAATGCAATTTTAAAACTAAGTGCAGAGGACAAAAGCAGAGCATAAAACTACAGAAAGCAAATGCTGACAGCAGGGGGAGAAACGTGCACAAGCGGAGGCTCCGTTCCCCCTGTCGCAAAGCACAGGTTCCGCTCACTTCAGATCCCGAGGCCAGGTGTCCTGGGCCGGAAGGTGGGCCAGGCTGCCTTCTCTGTGTTTTCAGTTTCACTGTTTAAGACTTTTCTTCTTTTCCTTGAGACCCCCCATTTTCTCCTTTTAGCAGCTGTGGCCTGGGGCAGGGCCGACCTGCTGGGTGCCCTGTGTGTCCCCCTTCCTCTCTTAACCTTTTTCATTCGAAAGGAGACTTCTGTTAAGAGATCAGCCAGTGATTCATTTAGTGTTTGTTGATTCACTGAGCAAAAGTTTAGGCACTGGGAATGCAGTTGTAAGCAGAGTCATTACCTTAGTTTCAGATGTTAAACCATCACAGTGAGGTTTCAGTAATAAGAACATCTTCTGTCACAAGGTGCTGCTGGCTCTCCTTCCCCTGGGACCAGGTCCTCTGTCCTGGGTCTGAGATCACCGAGCTGCCCCTAGCGCCCCTGCCGAAGCCCCCGGTTTGCCACGTAAGGTGGGGCGGGCGTAGCAGCATGGAGACCTCTGACCCTCAAGGCACTGGAAGGGGTGGCAGGGGTGTGTGTTGGCACAGCCTGGCAGGCTGAGAGTGCTACCCCTCTGCCATGGAGCCTGCCACCGCTGCTCTCGTGTCTCCGAGCCCAGTGGGCAGCGCCGTGCTGCTGGAGGGGCGGCTGTCCCTGCTCGTGACCAGCTTCTCGCTCTGACAACTCGCATATTTTGTTCTTGGTCCCACCGCGACCCCTGGTGCCGTTTAGCTGGCAAGGGAAGTTCAGGAAGGCAGGGACGTTGGGGGCTTGGCCACGGCCC